CAGCTGTTGTGAAAAAGATACTGAGACAGCCAATGCAGCGAAGGTGAATCCATATGTACTGATGTCTGTGGAATATTCTCAAGTGAAAAATGCAAGCAAGCTACAGAATAATAAAAGTAGATTCAATTTTAAAGAACATGTATATGTATGAATAAGAAAATCTAAAGGCATAAAAAGGTAACAAAATTGGGAGATGATCAGGAGCTATAGACAGATAGGAGACTTATTTAACTTTAGAAAACAAGAAAATATTTATAATTAAAATAGTTAATTTTTTTAACAATTAGCCTTTAAACACACATATGGAGAGAAAGAAATGAGGCTTGCCTAAGATGTATTAAAACTTATAATAAAGTAAGGAATGTATTATACTAGTATATTAATAGTTATAATACATATATATTATATATTTGTATTATTTTATATTTCATTGTATTTCTATATTATACAAATATATATTAACATATTATTATTATAATCAGCTATGCTCTATATTGCTATAATTAAAACAGGAATGGCCAGAGAGATCAATAGAATAGGATAGCATCCAGGATAAACATCCAGATTTATATGGAAACCTATTGTTTGGTGAAGCCCACATTATGAGTTGGTGGGGGCGGGATGGGGAAAGCTGCTGGCCGTGGTGGTAACTGGAGAGAACTAAAGGGCCCTAAAATGGGGAAATCTGGGGCAGGTGACAGCCTTGAAGCCCAGCCGTAGGGCTGAATATGGTGCATTCCTAACAGGTCTCCAAGTGATACTGACGCTTCCAATCACAGGTGATACTGATGTCACACTTTGAAAGCCACCGGCCACTTGCAGCCCTACAGTGTCCGGTCAACCCGTCAATCGCACAGGGAGCTGTGAGGCAGAGTGTGGAGGTGGGCTGTGCTGGGTTCCTGCCAAAAAATGTGGTTTGGGGTTGGCTGCCCGGAACAGCTGTTGATGCTGGCAGCTGCTTGGCACCTTCATTTTCTGAGCTCAATAACTGCCTCAAGAACGTGTCCCCCAGAATTTAGGCCTAAGCCCAGAACACACATCTGCCAGGCCCCGATATCAATATTCCACAGGTAGGTTGGGATTTCTTCTTGACCACCCAAGGCATAATATGCAGTTGTCTGTAGCACAGCTTACAAAGCACTTTTTCCTTCTGATATAATTGGGGTTTTCAAATTCAGTCATGTTCCCACTCCTTTATTAGGTAACAGGTTAAAAAATTCACAAGCCTGATTCCTTTTTCCGTGGCCTTCGGACTTCAGAGAGATTACATCCAAGCCCTCAGTGGCTTGCTTGGCTCCCCAGATTAAATGTTCCTCACTGTCAGCTTGTGTTACAGCACATCACCCTGCTTTCCATTAGTCACTCAACTCTCCAGCCTCCTGAGGCTGCAGGAGGCCGCTTAGTAGAGGCCATAGGAAGTGCCTGTGATTCATCTTGTTCTTGTACTTATTCATCAGAATGAGGATTCTCCCCCAAATTTAGACCTCTTTATGGTGGTTCCCATTGGATTCTTAATGGGTATTTTAAAACTTGGAAGGAGAGGTTAGTGAGAAGCCAGGAACTGAAGAACAAAAGTCCTTCCTTTTCAGTTTCATCAGGTCTGGGTTACTTAAGGTTTGATAATCAGCCACAGTTATCCCGACATACTATTAAATCTAAAATTGAAATGACCAGCCTCGGTAAAACACCTCCTCTTATCGCCCAAATTGACTCCTGCTGCTGCATCTGACGAGTGGAAAATTGCCTCCACGCTTGTAAACCACTCCATCTGCCTCCATTTCCACAGATGAACGCTCATACTCTTCAAAAACGCATCTCAGTATGTAGCATAAAGTGGGTGAGCAAGAAGCCAAAAGGAGAGATTTGCTTACAGAAAACACAGATCTGATAGCCTTCATCTCCCTTTCCTCCCCGAACTTAGATACTGTATTTACTGGGTTCCTTTCTAGTGTCTTTATTTGCTTTCATTCTAATTCCACTTCAGGAGGTGACTGGTGTAGGGAAACAGATTCTTCTCTTTGCGAAAGGCCCGGTGATGACTGCTTTTATTGAGTCTTATAACAAGAAGTTGTGAGGTCCCAGGGGACTTGACTCCTTCGAGAGCTTGGAGCAGCTCCTGCCACATAGCGGACATTCGGTAAACACTGTGAGGTGAGTAGACGCCGCTCTCCCCAGCCGTTTCTGGACCTACTTGGCCCATACCTCGAGTGTATTTTAATTTCCGAACGATTCCTTATGGCTGTTTGACAATGGTGCTGGGGAACTGGTTGCATAGAGCAAAGAACCCAATGGCTGGACCACTCCCGGGCCCGTCCAGCCCAGCCCTCCCAGGCCCTGCTTTCCTGGCCACCATCAGCTTCCCTAAAGCAGCTTGCGTCACTGTTCTTTGCTTGACAATCTCTGATGTGGCTTGTCAATTAAATTTGGAAGCTACAATTTGTTAATATTTGGTCCCAGGATACAGGTTATCCATCAGTTTACCTCAGTCTGCCTTTTTTACAGTAAATCTCAGCCCTCAGCCTGCTGCATTTCCCACCAAGCCGTTTGAGGTCGTCTCTTCTCACTTTTTACAAAAACAAGGGAAGCTACTGCCGCAGCCCCATTTGCCAGGAGGTACATTCCTGCTCCTCAGGCGTCCTTTTCCCAGAAAACCTTTCATTCCTCCCTGCATTTCTTATCAAGTCACGACTTTCAGTTCCTAACCCTTTATTTCTCCATCTTAGCTTTGAGGATTCTTTCTCTGTTCACCTTTTCTAACATTTCCTGTTTGCTTGGGCAAATTCTCATTACCAACACGTTATGATCCTTCCCTTCCCCACCCTTCCCCATCAGTGAGGGTCTCTGCCTGTGCCCTTCATCACCCAGCTCTCCCTTGGACACTATGCCCTCTGTGCAGGCCACACAGGGCTACTTCTTCAATAGCTATCTCTGTCCTTCCATCCCTTTAATATCTTTTTATAAACTCCCATTCCTCCCATGAAGCCTTTGAGGAACACATCTTCTCTCTATGTTGCCAGGGTAGCTGCTGGGTGCATGTGTGGATGCTCCTCATATGACTGCATTCCTGCCCGCCCCCGCCACCCAAGGCTCTTGAGAATGTGAGGGCTCTGGGTAGAGGCTGGCTAGGCCCTTGCTAGCCTGGTCAAACGATCATCCAGGGACAGCCACGGCCTCCTGGCTTCAGTGTTTACGCTCACTGGGGCTCCCTACTTCTTTCCTGTTCCAATGTTCTGCTAAGTCTTCAAAACAGTCGATGGAAATGGAGGTCCTGCACCCCTTTGGGTCTTTCACAGGGTTTTGGGAAGGCACACATGGGACTGTACTCTAAGATTTTTCTTAATGAAAATCACATTTTTTTCTCAGCAACATTTAACATTTGATTCTTCAGTGATAGTCAGGTAAGTGTGATGTGGAGAAGAAACGCCTCAGAAGCCTCTCTGCTTGCCCCTTCCATGACTGTCACCTCCAGATTCCGTCACAACAGCAATGTGGAGGCGGGACCTCTACTAGCAGGAGGCGGGAGCAGGAAGTGAGGGAGGAGGCCTGAAGGGTGACCCATCTCAGATGGGGGTGCAGGGCACCCTTCAACTCCAACTGCCACGACTGCTCAGAGCCTCTGCAGAAGCAGGAAGATGGGACATCTTAAACAACGGGCTGTTCCCTATGAAGTAACAACCTCCATCCTGTTCCCTGAAAGGGATTACAGTGGCCGTAAGGCAGGAATAATCTGATGGTAGAAAGGAGAGTAGTAGGAGTCTTAAATATCATTTAAAAATGATCAGGAAACTCTTTAAGAAGGAAGTGGCTTGTGAGCTGAGTCTTGTGAGGGAGGAGAGGAGCAATGGTAAGAACAGAAAAGATGGAGTTCAGGAAGTACAGGGCGGTGCTTTTCAACAATTAGGAGGGATAAAGCCACCTCAGGCATCTGTTTGAAATGCAAGCTCCCAGGCCCTACCCCCAGAGGTTGAATTAGAAGGTCTGAAGTGAGCCAGGAATTGGAAAGCTTAATAAGTCTCAGGAACCCCAGTGGGGATGGACCCAGGCTAAGTGCATTAAGGAAACCCTGGAAGGCAGTTTCAGCCACTTTACATACCTCTATTTGGTGAACACTTGATTTAGAGCAGGATTTGTAAACTCAAATACCTCCAGGGGCTAGGCTGACACAGGCCACCAAGAAGTTGATAAGTTAGTAGTGCAAATGGAAAAACTGTCTCTTCCTATGCTTAAAGGGACAGGAGCCAATGAGCTCCAACAATTACTGCCAGGAATGGATATGTGCTCAGGGCACCAGAGCTTTCTATTTTCTAGAGAAGCCTGAAACCTGCGTTTTATATACCCCCTCAATTATTACATTAAATGATGGATTAAAATGCCATGAGCATCAAATAATTTCATGAGGGCCACTAGTTGGCGATGTCAGACAAGCAAAACGAAATCTTATTGTGCTTGGACTTGAACGATAGAGTAAAATTGTATTTATCTCGTAGACAATGAACAATAGAAAGCTTTGCAGCAAAGAAGGGATCTGAACAGATGGGTGCTTTAAGAAGATGGCTATGGCTGTTGCATACTCTTGGGATGGAATGAGAAGGGGCCTCAGACAGGAGATCCTAGGAGGCTCTTCCAATTGTGCAAAGGGAATGGAGAAGAGAGTATGAAAGATGCCAGGAAGCAGGAATTCCTCAGATCTGATTGGCCGTGGAAGGAAGAGGGAAAAAGTAATCATTGGTTCTAGGGTCTTCTATGCCTAACTATGCACTATCTCTAATCATCCTGTTCTTTTAATATATATGTATGTTTCAGATTCATTCATTCCACCAAAAAAGAAAAAAAAGATAAGTTGCATTCTGATCAGTGCCAGCTTAACAGTGAAATTTAGAGTCATTCGTTTAGGGGAAAAAAAAGCACAGACAAAATATTTTACAGTATCTATAATAAATGCAAAGAAATCAATACAAACAAAACTTGGCTTTAGCAAACTGTACATACATAAATATCTCTTTTTTACTATAACGTTCAATTTTTTTCACATAAAGCCTTCTATGATATTATTTATTACATCTAGTTTTTCTTTATATCTTTAAAAAAGTGCCTTTTTAGATTTACAGGTTGTGCTTCTAAAGCAAAGATTAGAACATCATGCCCAAGAGGAAAATAAGGTAAAAAGGAGGCTGCCGTATAAGCTCTTAAAAACTGTTATGTTACAGGGTTCTAAAATCTCTTCAGCACTGGTTGGTGGGTAGATTGTACGATACTGACATGGCGCTTGGGAGGGTCATTTATTGGATAAATGGAGCAGCACCATGGGAAAGCTGCCCAGATAGTCTACTGAAGTCCTTGGCTATGCATAGAACGGACCAAAGGCTCAGAATTCACGAGTCCAGGGAACTTCGGAGGTCCTTACTCAACCTCTTCAGAGCCAAGGCTCAGAGTTTCAAACCAAATTCCTTCCAAACCTTCTGTGGTCTGTCTGCCCTCCTGTTATTGTTGGTCCTCCACCTCAGAAGCCAGGATCTGCACACACAGGATGTGGAGGAGAGCTGAAGCTGCCACGCCGGGGGCTTCTGCCAAGATCAAGGTCCTCCTGTTGACAGTTTGGGACTGCTTTTGGCCCAATCCGCCTAATGCTCCCAGCATATCTGCAGATGGCGTCGGCTTGGTTCAGAGCGGGGGAGGGCCGTTTGTGTATCTGAGCATGGGGTGGAATGACCGGGCAAAGTTGTTGGAGAGGGCGCAGCTGTAGTCCTCCTCCGACATCGGTACAAGGCAGGCCAGCCCAATGAGGAGCAGCAAGAGAAGCTGAAGGGGAAGAGCTGCTCGGAGGACTCTCAACAGGAAGGCTCGGCCCGACCGAGCAGGCCGAGGCTCAGAAAGGGAGGAATCGGAGCCACCTTTTGTGGACCTGAGAGGAGAAGCGACATAAATAACTCGAATAACTCAACTGTTGGATGGATGCTGCTTTTTGCTTCTGCACCTTCCTGGAAGCTAAGGCCCATGCCAAGCACAACCCAACCTGGAAGTTAGCTGCCAGCCTCCCGCGGAACGCCCAGGTCACTCCCCACCACCAAATGAAGTTGTTGGAAACTGCACTGATGAAAAATATACATTTAGTCAGTCAACTAAAGGTAACTAATTCGGTTCAAATCCCACTCCTCTTATCCCTTAATTTGGTGAAACATTTTCCATCAACAAAGATAACTGCTCTACACATATTCTACCATCATAAATTAAGTAGATCCAGGATAATTAAAATGTGACAGTTTGATGCAGTACATTTTTGGTTTAAGAATATCAGAAATATTGTTAGGCAAATTAGTTGCTGTCAGGATCATACAAAGTATCCCATTTAGCCATCCTGGATATGCCAAAATCCATGTAACAAGAATAAAAATGGCCCTAATCATTTTGCACAGACCCACAAAAGCTTAATTAATCTTAGAGTTTACCCTGGTTTCATCTTGCACTGAATCAGCATCTGGCCCTGACGTCACTGGGTTCCAAAGCTGGATGAAGGAATAGCAATGAGGTTGTCTATAGAACAGCGGTGTTGGGTGATATGGATTCTAGGCTGATCCTGTCCCTCACTCTGCGACTTTGGAAAATTTTCTGAGGAGGACAGATTGTCATCTTGAAGCCCCATCTAGACTCAAAGTTCCGAGTTTTTCTATCTCACTTTTATCTTCCTTTTAAACACTGCATTAGAGATTAAGCACAGATTTCAGAATTCCTAAGAAAGACTGCCTGTGGAATATTGAATATGAAAGTAGGTTCTGAGTTGGGTGCCACTGTTTTCTTTTTGTGAAGAGTCATTAACATTTTGTTTCATTAGGAGTAGAGAAGATGAATAAGAAACGTTATTTACAAAGAGGCATTCTGTGTATACTCACACCCAGACAACACTGAATGATCAAAAAAGAATAGATATACCAAGGAGACACATTCCCACACACCTAGTATGAATTCCCTAATGGTTTTCATATCACTAAGAATAAGGATGTTGCATGTGAGGCCATTGGAAAAACATGAAGATATAAAAACTGTATTGGTAACTGTAGGTTTGGCTCATAAGAGAACAATATGTTTGTAGTTCCCTTATTAGCTGTTAATTTCTGAAGACACATTACCGTAATATCAGTAGGGAATAGGGTGGCATCAGAGAAAATAAATGTTAAAATAAAAAACAGATATAATCTCCTTAAAAGGGAACAGAGGGACTGCTCAAAACTCTTTTATTAAGCCATCAAAGAAACATGGGAGACAAACAGACTGGTTCTGCAAAAACCCCAAGCAGCCCTGCACCACACCAGGTTTCTCGTACCTTTCTTGTAGTGTAACGAAAAAACAAATCACTGGCCTAAATTGGAACTGTGCTCTTTTCTGAAGTCCACAACTAATGGACTTGTGTAACCTTGAATGACTCACTTTACCTCTGTGTGCCAACCTCCTTGTTAATCTCTTCACATTAGAATAGATGGTCTTCCAACTGTTAAGTTCCATGTTTTATGTGTTTTCTGCCTTCTACTAATTTGTCAGTGTAAATAGTCTCCCAACCCAGAAGCCACAAGCGTTCAATCACCATCTAGTGGTCAAACTGATTAACTGCCCTTATGCTAAGACTGATGAGTTATTCCTTAATAAGCTGAAACGGAGAAAAAAAAAATGTACGTTTTGTGAAAATACAGAACATAAAAGAAATATGTCATATATCTTATTAATGGAAGGGAAAAGAGAAATTTCTTGAGTTACCTGAGAATAAAATATTCATATTTAGATAAGGCCTTAGAGAGCATCTAATCCATTTCCTAATTTTTAGATAACTAGCCAAGGATAGTCAACGTTTATTCTTCTAATTGCTAGGCAACATTCCAAGCATTTACCTTGGCTTCTATCATTTAACCCTCACAACATTCCTCTGAGGTGTGTGCTTATTATCTTCATTTTATAGGGGATGAAGAGGAGGCTCAGAGAAGTAAAAATAACTGGCTCAAGTCTACACAGCTAACAGGTGGCAGAACTTCGATTTCAACCCTGTGATTTCAACTACTAAAACTTGGACTCTATACATAGAGTAAAGGACTTGTTCTAAATCCCACAATTAAAGGAAGAGATCTATTTAACAGGAATTCAGGGTGCCAAAATCCCTGCCCACCACACTCTCTGCTCTGCAATGTTTTGCTGGTTGGTGATATGAAGGATGACCATGCAGCTCATGTTTATGTCACAGGTATCTCACATATAGAAGTAAAGAATACTGCACTTATATCCTAAAATATGTGGAAGCAAGGGGTTACTTCCTGTCTGAAATAATCGCCTCTAGTCATAAAGCCTCGCAGTATCACACAGATCATCAAATCAGTGCATGGACATGAGGACATTTTGTTTTGAGGCAGTTGTATAATCATGGGCCAATAAATTAGTCTCTCTGGCCTTCAGTTTTCTCATTTGCAATAATGAGGGGTGCATGGATATCCTTAAATTGTTTTGGCTCTGACAGTTTAAGATTCAATGGTTTGCCTTAAAGTGCCTTGAGAAGGATGGGATAGCTACCCACAATCTCTGGACTGAATTTTTCTTCAATATATCCTTCCCTTGACTTGAAAATATGTCTTGGCAAAAAACACTCACCACCTGTAGCTGGATGAGTTATAACAGAAGGACAGAAGAGAGCTCCACATTTCCTCTTTATTAAATATCTAACTAACTAATTTTCATTAGGAAATTAGTGATGGGTAGATTTATGCATATCACCAATAATATAATCTGACATAGCTGAAGAGTCCTTTGTCAATTATTAGCTTCTTTGAGCAATTCGGTTAAAGATCAAGATCAAAACAAGGGCTGCACGTTGACTAGCTTATTCCTGAGAAAAACTAGAAAGGTCACCATTTTTGGAATATGGGCTCATATGTTATAGAGTCTGTTAAAAGACATGGCACATTTAACAGCATCAGAGCACTCTTGTATTAAAATTTAATTTGTGCATGACTTCTAATGTTGAAGAATGCTGACCTAAAGAGAAGTAGTGGGCTCAGTTAGGGACAAAGGGAACACACAGTACTTAGTGACCGTCCATGCAGTTAACTGCCCTTGAAAATGTCCAATCTATCTACTGAGAAAAATGCTCACCCCCTTGGGGTAACTCCCGGAGTTTCAACATGCCCAAAGTTGCCTCTTCAGGGTGAACCTGTCTAGAGATTTTATTAATAGTACCAACTAGTTAATGATTTTGGGCTAAGGGGTACTTTTAGTATTTATCTGCTGATCTAAAATCACCTAACTTTCAAGAGTATTGGGAAATTCGATAAGGGAAACAACAGAGGCAACTTGTTGACTAGTCACTGGTCATTCTTCACTGGCCTTATTCTTATACTGACATAAATGGATGTCAGTTTAGATTGTTTATAGAGAAAAAATTAAATGTGTGAACTTACTTCAGAAACTTAATCAAGGGAGATATATCAGATAATTCCATTCAGAAAAAAAATGTGCTTATTCTGTACAAGTAAATACATATTTATTTTTCTCATTCCCCTCACTCCTTCAAACTTCTGGGTAAATAATTGCCCAGGAGTTGTTTCACCTCTGTTCCAAAATCGCATACAGTTGTGGGGGAAGGAGAGTGGTGGGGAGGGAGCAGTACCTACCAACACATCCCACAAAGGAAACTGTATGTGACAAACAGATGTGAGGAGTCGGAATACCATGCACATAGAGTGTGACTCACTTTGAAAATTTTACATAATCAAGGAAAATAAAATGAGTTAATTTTGTGCATGCTTCCTAAAAGCCAAATGAAAAGAAACTTTCAATTCATTTTGTTACTTGTTGGCAAACACTGGCAGTGCGTAACAGGAATTTATAGTGCGGAAATGTCTAGGTTGTCCATGATCTTATTGCCTACTCTTATGTGAACTGCCTTTGAAACCCAGTGTTTCCTGGACTTGTGGTTCAGAAGACAAATTTCCAGAATCAAGTTAGGGCTCCAGACTCCTCTTATTCTAAACCAAACATCCTGGCTAGTCCTAAGCTACTTTAGGCAGCCTGGGGTGGCCTCTGCCCTGGAACTGTTGTTTGAAGCATCCTACTCACCAAGAGCCCTTTAGTAGAGCGGCGTGGTTAACAAGGTAGGGTTCAGAGTCAGGTGGGACCTGGTTCAAATCCTAAACCTTTATCCCTCTAATACCCAGTGTCCTTGTGTATAAACTGGGGAATATAGCCATATTATGGGGTTCTTGTGAAGGTTAAATGAGATAACATATATACAACACCTTGCATAGTGCTTGGAATACATGAAGTACTAAATAAATGTCAGCAGCTTATCATTATTATCTGTACAATTGTACCAACGGTGTGCTGGGGGTTGGCTGAATTCAGCCTCTTCTCTCAGGAAAATATACCTGCTTTATGCATAGTGCTTTCAAAAATGTGATGAATTTCTCAAACTGCCTGACTTGTTCCCAAAGAAACACCGGGAAGGCCTACCTCAAAAGAGTGAAGGGGAATCCCACTGGACACTGACCCCACAGCTGTCCTCGGGGCATGGGCAGCCAACCTGCCTAAGAGGCGAGACTGCTTTGTGCCTGGGCTCTTTGAATGCTTTGAAAAAATAGATGTCCAGGGTCAGAAAAGACTTGAAAACAAATTCCACAAGAAACTGAATAGTGTTTATAGTGAGACCCCAGTGTACATGCAAACCCCACTGCACTTACTTAAATATATGTGACCACCTTGAACAAGTTTTACAATGTGGTCTCTCTCCCTCCCTCTCAGCGTTTCAGCCAGTCATTTGCCACTTCCCATTCATTCTTAGTTTTCTGTAAAGAAGGTGCCAGAGACCAAAGGTATTAGGGCAATTCTGCATTTTACAGTTCTAAGCTTTAGAAGGAAGTCATCAATTCACACTGTCTGGACTACAGAGCAATTGTTCCTTTGTTTTGTTGGAAATTGGAGTAAAATCTTCCTACTTGTCATCTTCAACTCAGTGACAGTAGAATTTTGCAGAATTATTGGCAACAGGGCTAGAAAATGTTAAGTCAGATGTAGGAAAAAGGTACCAGCTGGACCATCATAAGCATTGCTTTGAAAACATGCTTCTAAAATATGTTTAATCTCAAACAAAAATAATCAAGACAGTGATTATGAATATATGCATGGAATTTTAATAAGTGCTAGGGAGCTCCTTGTAATGATGTAGGGAATCTCTAGATCCTGAAACACTGCAAGCCTTTTAATGGCAGGAATCACACTGTATTCATTTTGTAGGCCCAGGGCCTACACAGACTAGGCGTTCAATAACTGCTGGAATCACTCCATATTTAGGTTTAGAACATTATGTGAGGGCACAGAATCAACTCCATCAAATCAAATTGAAATATGTATTAGGCTAGTAAATTATTAACATCTGACTTTAAACGACAAAAAACTTAAGTAGCCCTCCCTTCAAACTAACACTCAGTTTCTTCCAACTCAGCTTCTTCTTCCAGGAAGAATACATGTCCCAAATTTTCCCATTGCAGACTGCTGGGGGCAACATTCTAAATCATTTGTGCTTCTGCAATAACCTTTCAAATTTGCTGGACCAGTGCAAGATCAAACACAAGATATCTCAAGTCTCAAAGTAAAGGAACACCGTGACAGCCTGGTCTGTGGGTGAAGTTCATTCTTCCCCAGCAGACTCTGCCATTCATTGTCAGAGTTGGGTGCGCCCCAAACAGCAGTGCCAAGGAGTAAGGAAGCCCACGAATGTTCAACCACAACCTGACTGCCAAGGTGTTTGAGGAAGTTTGCCATTCAGGTGAAGAATATTTATATCCCATTCACTCTTGAGTAGCAAAGCGAACACTGTGCTGAATGCTCAGAAAAATGTTAATCAGCAGTGGTGGACAGAGCAGAGCCGAAAGGTGCCTGGTGGGTGTCGCAGTGAGAACGTGGCTGTCGCCGTCGCAAAGCCCTGTTAGGAGGCACGTGGACGCACTTGCTGCCCTAAGAAACAATGCCCTTGATGTTTTCAAAAGATCTGGGTGGCTGTCTGAAATAATTGGGGGAGCAGATAGATGCAATATTTGGGAACCCAAGGGTGATTGTTATTGGTGTCACATAATAACATTAAGAGCTATTTCCTTTCTCAACACCATCATTTGTATCACCAAAGAATTGATCTCTGGTACCCTCAAAGGGAAGCTAGGGGGATATTCTTTATCTCTGTTCACTGCACATCAGCAATTTGTGGGGGAAAGATGGACTACATAACACGGTGATCTGTCTACAGCCCACCACTGTCTTTCTTATAGGGGCTGAGAAAACAACAGAGCATCTGCGGCTGGTTATCACTAGCTTCCAAAGCCCTGTGAGTTTTTCTCGATATTTCATTATTGCTATTTCATTAAGGATAAAAAAACAAACAAATAAAAAACACACAAAATTGTCTTCAAACTAAACCAAAGGGTAAAGGAAAAAAAAAACAAACATAGCAAAGGGAGGCTTAACACCAGAAAGCATATTAAAATACATTCTGTAGGACTTCAGCTGAGTGGGAAGGACCAAATAAAAGAGCCAGTCCCTTCAAGCACACAGCTGGAAAACTAAAACTATTACTCAGGGGTTGTTTACAGTTCTACATTTCCTCATCCCCACCCTCCTTCCAGGAACTTAGATTGCTGCTCATGGTGATAAGTTTCCAGAGCGGCAAAGTACTTTAACAGTGAACTGCTCGGGATTGGAACGCAAAACCAGCTCTGAGGACAGTGTTTTCATTTTCAAGGAAGTTGTCTGGGGAAACATGAACTGATTGGTGGAAGGGCAGAGAGGCACAGACACCACACCAACAACAAAGAAGGCAAAGCACTGCTCACTGCAGGGGCGAGGGGACTGCTGGAGGCAAGGCATGGAGCACTGAGTGGCAGCTGTGAGTGGGCTCTGGGGAGGTGGCCGGGCGGGGGCGTTGACTGCTGTTGGTTCCAGAGTGAAAGCGCCTGCCAAGGGTTAGGAAAGAGAGTGGCTGAGTGTGCTGGCTGAAGAGTTTTAGGATAAGCAGAAGAGAGAAGGTGTTTATAGATTTTCAGTGAAGAACACCAAATTAGGGCTTGCCGTTTTGAGAATCCAAAACCCACAATCTGGATAAAACACGAAAATAAAATAAAAAGCTGGGGATGTTAGTATATTTTATTCAGATTTGTGGGTTCTGTGAGTGGTAAAATAATTCATTGATCTATTACCTGTCTTATTGTAAAATCTAGAAATAAAGAGGATGATAAAAGTCTGCCGCGAGTCCAATGGCAGCTGTGCCACCAGTCGTACCGAATCTTTATCAACATGGAAAATACCATTTGATGAAAAGTATCAGACGGGCTATGCATGGCTGAACAAAATTTTGGTGGGGTCCAAATATTTTGTGCTTTGAGATTTACTCGTACTTTCCATTTAGAAACGTCTCTTCCAATTTCTTAGGAAAGGGTGTGGACTGAAATGAACAATTTCCCAACTACCATGAGGCAGACCAGATACAGGCCTGCCTAAATTACGGACAATTTTCATCATCCTCTTAGAGTTCTAGAACAGTGTGGAAACCAGGAGAACGAGGTACCTGCTATGTGGACTGCTGACAGAGGGTCCAGGCTGTGAGAGACTACACTTGCCTCGTGGCTGTTTGCAATGAACAGGGGGTAAAGAAAGAAGAATGTTCAGTCCAGGCAAATAAAGACAAGCTACTAATGAAAATTAAACTAAAAGTGCAGCAAAGGAAAAATAAATCAAATGAAATGATTGGTACCCACAAATTAAGGAAACTGGCTTTTCTTCTGTTGAAGAAGTAAAATTTACATCTATATGATTAGTCATTGAAAAAAATCACAAGTTGAGGTCCTGGAGCCCATACCATGGTGGGCACATGTCCCCCCACTTTTCATAGTAGAAACTCAAGTGACTCTACACTACTCAAGAATCTCTGTATATTTACTTATAATAAATATAAAATTCACTATGTCATATCATGTATTTCAAAGAAACTTTATGTATTTTTTCACTTTTTAGAACACTGAAACAGTATTAAAATTCTTGGTAGATAAAAATTAATAATGGTAACATGAGATTCTTTTTTGTAGTGATGAAACCCAACAAGTTAAATATTCAAGCTAAAGAAAAGCTAAAATTTGACTTGAAAAGCCAGTATTCCTTCACATTCTTAAACTAGGATCTATAGGAAACTAGTGAATGTAAAAAACAATCCTAAAAAAGATAATAACGTTTATCAGCATAGAACGTGTTTATAACAAAAATGCACAAATGAAATCAATCCTTCTACGAACTAAGGAGAAATGGAATGAACATAATCATAAAGCCAGACCAAAAAAAAAAAAAAAACCACAAAAAACAAAAAACAAGCTTCTAATTACACAGAGAAATCAAGGTATAGAGGGCAGCAGGGGTCGAATTTGTCTTCTCTTTCTCATTGTGTCCCAGTGAGGCAGCCCCCACTGTAGGTCTGTGGGGAATTGGCTTGGGTCGTTGCCACTTTAGGGGCAGCACAATTGCCAAAATCCTTCAGGACCACCACTCGGAAGCTTCTTTGCTTGAGAGTCAATAGAACTTCCATTTGTGTCATCCATTCAATAGTCTCAAGAGCGTTCGTGTTTCCGTCCACCTCCGGCGGAGGCACTGCTCTAAGTGGCAGCCCACATTTTTAGGGTGGACATGGCGGTGGTGGTTTGAAGGAGCCACCAAAGGGGCAAATGAGCGCCATTGTAGAAATGGCCATTTGAGCAAGAAAAATAATTTTTTTCCCTGCATACCAGCCACACGTTGAGTCCTGCTTCTTTTGAAAAACAGAACTGCTATTTTCCATTCCCGAGCGCATGCTGGCAGGGCACGCCGCAGGGCTGAGGAGGCGCACTACCCTGTGTGACAGCCCTCTTCTGTCTGGGGACCTCTGCGGGGCAGGAGGAGAGCCTGTGGACCCTGTGGTCGGTACAAATACTGTCACTCCCCAGTGTTCCCTCCCCCAGGACAACTGAAAACGACCAGTGCAAAGTTACCGTTTTCTGTCTGTTTGGGGTGCTTCTTCCCGAGGCAGGGCTCACAGATCCCGAGGTGTCTAACTCATCAGCAGAAGACCAGGAAGACAAATCCTACGTGGGAGAAGATTCTTTTAACAACTCCTGTCCCAAAGCCATGGGGCTCTGTAATGTGCAATGTATTTCTCACTCCACCTCCATCCAGCCCCACCTCCCCACCATATCATTCCTTAGGAAAAATGGAATCAGACAGCTCCAAGAAGAAGGGGACCTAATTCTCCTAGTGTATTGGGATTTCCAGGTTGTAAGTTTGGCCCTTCTGGAAAATAAAACGATAGCTTTGTTATTGCTACGTTTCACTTATAGCTTTATTATTTCCTAGCGACATGGAAGTAAATGAGTTGACATCGGCTTGGGAGGAGGAAGAAGTTTGCCTTACAGCTGCAGGTCGTTCAGGCTGGAGAGAAACCAATTCATTTGAGTCAGAAACAAAAGGTAGTCATCCAAGAGTCTGCCTTTTAGCAGCAGAGAAATCGTATTATTTCTGGCATTGCTGCTATTCAGAGTGGATTGTTCTTTTGCATGCATACAGAAGGGCAAAGTGTGTATTCATGACAGGATTTCACAATCGTATGTTTGAAGTCTTACCAAGCACTGCTGTACCTGCAAAAGCATTTCTAAAAATTAACAATAATATCACGATGCAGTAGATTTAATAAAAAAATATAAAAATAAACAAATAGAGGATTCTTTTATGAATTCACTATTATATATGTAAGGCAAATTCATGCCTTAGAGGTGTTGAATACAAAACTCATATGTAGCAATTATAATAGTTTGCTCTACCATGGCTGTGTGGCTGAAAATGTGTGAATTTTTAAGTAAACAGAGTGAAATAAAATGACACAATACTGGTAGTAACAGGGTTAGTAGGAACAAGTACAAGAGATCTTTTTGAATTAATAGAATCAAAAGTACTGTCCTACTATAAAAGTTTATGAGTCTGCTTTTTTATTTTGAGATAGGACTACTTAGAGTGGTGATTCAGAGTAGATACTCCATTCTGACAAGTACTACATTCGAAGTCTTTCTGAAATGGATGAAGATGATGCTTCTCTTGTCTCCAGTAAGAAATGTTACACAATGACATTTGTTTAGAGCTTACCTGCTGACTGCTTGACATGTCTAATAACTTCTCCAGTTCTTTGATGTGACGACTGACCTCCTTCAACAGAAGTTTGAGCCTATTTCCAATAACATGGACTTTTTCTTTGGCTTCTAAACAGTCTGTGCCTTCAGCATTCACCAGCAGTTGGCAAGACATGTCTTGCAATGAGGTCACTTTGAGCTGGGACTCCAACAGTTCACGCCGTATTTGCTACATATATAACAAGAAATATTTTTCTAAGAATTTTTGGTAATTGGCCTAAGTTCCGAAAGTGTAGAATGCCATCACTTTAACTTAGTGGGCAGTTATAACACCTGAGTTTTTGCATGTGGCATTCACGCATTAAAGGATGCAGCAGCCTGTGGCCTGTGTTCTAATCCTGCCTCTGTCAACAATATTCTATAAGACCCCTGACCCTCTCTGATCTCAGTTTTCTCATTTGATGCCTGGTCCACAGTCAAGTTAAGGTTCAATTGGTTAAGGTATATGAAAGTACTTAAAATATAGAGCATTATGTGAGATAGAAGATATTCTTTTAAACAGAAAAGTAAAACATTAATATCTAAATATAGCAAAACTCAAGTATGCATGAGTATCCTTTGATATCTAGTCAAGATTTGAAAAAAGATTTAGGGTGGTTCATCATTCACAACTTAATGCCAGAGGTCAATGTCAAGTAAAAATGCAGCTGCATGGCTATTTCTTCTAGGTTTCTAAGACCCTTCTGGTACTCAGTTAAAAGGTACCAATTCTGTAGCTTAGATTAGTGAGTATTAAATGTTAAGAAAGGACATTTTAAAAACACAGAAAGCTACAAAATGCATAGCATTTTCTCCTAATGGAACTCAAATATGCTTCCTTATCTTCCATAAAATCACTTAAATACACTGTACATTATACCTTCCAAATATCCTTGTATAAAAATTTACACAGTAAATTTCCTTTTGGATTTAGTGCTAGAAAAAGTTTCTTACTCCTTGAGAACCGGTATGTTTTCTGTTTGTCAGATAATGGAAATGAGTTAACTTTTCATGTTTCCCTTTTTGTCATAGCTTTCAGATAACTTGGCACTAAGGCTGGGTGCGGTGGCTCACACCTGTAATCCTAGCACTCTGGGAGGCCGAGGCAGGAGGATTGCTTGAGCTCAGGAGTTCAAAACCAGCCCAAACAAAAGTGAGACCCCGTCTCTATAAAAAACAGAAAAAATTAGGCGGGCGTGGTGGTGTGTGCCTGTAGTCCCAGCTACTTGGGAGGCTGAGGCGGGAGGATCGCTTGAGCCCAAGAGTTTGAGGTTGCTGTGAGCTAGGCTGATGCCACGGCACTCTAGCCTGGGTAACAGTGTGAGAGTGAGACTCTGTCTCAAATCAAAAAAAAAGAAAACTTGGCACTAAGGTTCATGTTTAATCTGGTATAATTAATTCCTCCTAAAAATACTTAATTGTGTCTTTCTATTCTAATAGTTTTAATGTCCTTTTACTATAAGTCTCCAAATATACTTTGGGGACATAGATGTAACATATAAGGTTTAAATTAAAAATAAGTGTAATTCACCAGAAAGCTGCCTTAATAAAGACAAGGTAATTAAGATTAAGGACATCTAAGATTTTTACAATTGAGCAATGGCTTTAAAACCAGACTCTAAAGCTAGCAGATGTCATCTTCTATGCACATGTTTGCTTCACAAAGATTGGAAACCATAAGGAGTTTTTTCAAAGTGTAAAATAGAGACTGTAACACAAAAGGAAAAAAAATTACCATTTTTATTCATTTTACATAAGTGAAATGCAACCCTGCTAAAAATAACTGCAGCTGCCAGAGCACATACATCTTACCATAAGCTGTCTGTGATGGTCCTGGAGTATCTCCACATCGAGGTTACAATCAACAGGGACAATTTCGTTTTTCCTTCTGTCGATGTTCTCCAGCATAAGAAGCAAACCATGGCTCATTTCATGGAAATCCTACAAAAAACAGATGGAGTTTAAAACAGCTGTGGGTAATATGTTTTCTTTTCCCTCACAGCTTAAATTTCTATTCTTTCCAATTGCTACCATTTGCAAACGTACATTGGTTTTAAGGTCATACATACAGCTCCTTTTTGAGGAAGGGACTGGTGGTGTTATAAAGACCCGATCATGAGTTTATGTTCTTACCAAAGCATCTGATTTACTGCTTGGGGAAAAATTTAGACATAAGGAAAATTGTCATCAATATACTTTATTTCTGAAAAAAAAGTAATGTTATTATGCAGTTTAGAAGGAAGCACCTCTGCTCCCCTCTCTTCTCCATGTATTCAAATCTTTCCATCTTTTAAGGTCTAGGTCCAATCCCATGACCCCTTCATTCATCCATTTGTTCATTCATTTATTCAACATAAAGTTACTAAAGATCTCCTATGTGTAAGGCACTGGGGTGCAGAGGTGAAACAATTGTTTGGGTACTTGCTTTCAAGGAGCTGTTACTCTTGGGGCACATATTAATATAAATCTGAAGAGCAGGCTTCAAATCCTTCAAGATTTTCCCATCATGCTTAGAGTACGATGCAAACTCTTCTGTGATCAGATTCCTGACCACCTCCCTCCCCAGTCTTTCTCATTACTCCCTGCCCTGCTGACTATGCTCTGGTCTCACTGGCCTCTTTTCTGTTCTTAGAGACACTAAGCCCTTTCCTGCTTCTGGGACTTCCCATTTGTTGTATCTCCTTCATAGTAATATCCTTCCAGAGTCAGCTTAAGACCCACAGAACTCCCTGACCACCCTCCCAAAGTGGCTTTTTTCAGTTACTCTTATCAACAATGTCTGTAAGTATCCTGGTTAGCTATTTGCTTGTATTTTATTGTCTTCCCCAACAAAAGTAGAGGCTATGCTGTATCCAACGGCTTTGCCCTCTAGCTGCCACACGGTGGACACTCAGCAAATAACTATGGTATGAATGGATGAATAAATATTTGTAATGCTCATTTTAATGTTCAAGAAATGTCTGCCTATGTGCCCAGTAGCTATTTGCTGAACGAAGGAAATAAATGAGTCATTGGAGGAATGTCGGGACTGAGATTAACTTGGGAAATAGTCTATTCTTAGGCTGGAGAGAAGAGGAAGGCTTTGAACCTTGATCACATGTACAATTTCTCCAGTAAAATGAAAAATTTGGGCACAAAGTTATCTCACCCAGATACTGACTTTGGGGAGCAACTGCATCCCTCAAGAAACCGTGCTACCTCAAGTCACAGACTCAGCTAGTGTTGGGCTCTCAGTCACCTCCTGCCTAAAGCCCCACGGACCTGGCACTGCATCAGCGCATCCTGCAGCAGGCCCCGCCACTCCTCCAGCAGACAGCACACCCGGTCCCAGCGCCCATTCATCTGGGACAAGCGGTCCTGCAGGTCCCGGCTCTCCTCGCTGTCAGCCTGGGTGAACTCGGGGCTGCAGAGATTGATGGAGAGGATGATGGCTTTGCGGTGGTCTACAGATTTCTGGAGCTCCTGAAAAGAGAAAAAAAGAACAGTAATAACAAAAGCATGTTTTAAAAAAGTATTTTAAAACGTGTTTCTTTGTCAACCTCTTCCATTCACAGATTATGAATAAATTTCTCAGAAAGCATGCTTACATGTGCCTGTTATTGCTGCATTTTCTATACTTGGCCTATTAGGGCCCAATGGAGAAATAAACATGTCATAACATTAACAAAAAGTAGTTTAAACCCTTTAAAATGTTTCACTGAAATGCAAAGATCCATTAATTTAACTGTCCTTAACGGGATGTCTAGGTAAGAGACGGTGGGTGCACACCACTGAGAACTAGGCTGCAGTTGGAAGAAATGGATTAGATGGACACTTGACAACATGGTGGATCTTAAAAAAATATGGCGTAGAATGAAAAAGTTAGAAACAGAATGGAATGTGGAACACAATAGCATCCATACGTGCACACACACACACACAAATCCACATTTTGAAAGAATGCCTATGAACAATGAGTGACCATTAACCATTTCAGAATGGTTGCCATGGGTTTGGGGAATGGCAATTGAAAAACAGCAATAGGTGAGGGAGAAGGATAAGGAAAATGAAGGGGAGTCTTTTAGGAAACAAAGGTGACGCTGTGCAACGAACTAACTTGGCAGTGTCATGAATGCAACTCCCTGCGTGGAGGTTCAACCACAATGAAACAAAACAAAAACCTGGCTTTGGCAGTTTTGAGCAGCAGGAAACCTACATTTTTTTCCCCTAGTGTAATAAACCTAGTTCACTAGACCAATGGTGCTCAAACTTATGTGCCTACAAATGAAGTGGTGAGCTTGCTAAAAAAGCAGATTCCAGAGCCCTGGGTTCCGGATGTTCTGGATCCGCAGGCACAGTGGCCCACAGGATGAGAACACCGTGTCACAGGCCACATTTTTGTGATGGTAAAGAGAATAAATCGGGTATTTCATGAGCTAACCAGTTTAGTTTGAGTTCACAAAAAAGCAGGCAACAGATTTTTGGCTTTGTGCATTTTAAAAAAAATCCAGAACTCAATTCTAAGAACTGGAGCACATGATTCTGTATTAATATTGAATATCTGGGTACTGTTTAAATATCCCTGGATCTGGTTATGGTGAATAATCCTGGAAACCACATCTGCCTAGGCTTCGTTTTCTTACAGTTTCTCACTTGTCCTGTTATGTTCCCAGCTTGTCTTAATTTCTCACTTTTCAATAGGTACTTAACATGCTGTGTTATAGACACAGAGACATCAGAAGATCAAAAGATATTGTGGAAAATTCTTGATTATTCCACAGATTTATTCATAGAAAACATACATAAGAAAGATCAGGCAGGGGTGCAGAGGAAGGTGACTTTTTCTCATCACACGGGCTGACTTTCAAGGTTATATTTCTTTGCCCTAATCTGGCTGAGGTCTCAGACCCTGGCCAGCATTTACTTCATGAATTTTTAAGGAATTTGGTTATAATGCAATACTGCCTCACTAGAGTAATTTAGGGACTCTAGAGAAAAATTCATTACATAATGCAGATATTGTAAATTGCATCTCCCATCCAGTTGTACCTTGTCCTAAAACTTACAGGGCTGCTGCACAGGCCTTTCTATAAAAATGCAACTTTTGGAGCATCTATGGGGAAGATTCATTTCTCTGTTTGAAAATTTAAAACAACACAATCACAGAAAGCAAGCCACAAACACATCAACCCCAAATAAATAGCATATACCAAAACCATAGAAACATAAAAGCAGCACACACTTAATCCCTGAGCCCAGAGGAGGAGCACATGTTAATGTTCTCCTAACAATAAAACTCCCTAAGGGGTTTCAAAAGGAACCTGAGCTCTCAGTCCACGGGATGCTTACGACAGTCTCCACATACTAATGCACGTCAGTAGCTGCGTTAAGGAGGATTTTTAAGGTCTAGAGCTGGAGTTAAGGGAAGTTATCTCATGTACTATACCCACCCAGGCCAAACCAAAATCAAATGTAAATGTCAGGTGTTTCACCGCAATTATAGTTTTGTTTTATTTACTGTAGCAAAAAATTGCTTCTGCCACTATCGTAACCAGTTTCAGAAGTTTTGTTCATTGGAGAAGGTCAAATGATTTCATTAGGTCTCCCACTAATTCGTGCAGATACAATCTTGGAAAGGCTTTCTCTCCTGCTCTAGATGCAGACTTGAAGACCCTGGTTAGATCTGTATTTCCCTTACCAAGAGGTTAAACAGGTCCCAGAGGTGCCTGGATGTTTCATGAAACTTTAATGTTCATTTCTTAAAATACCAATTCATTAAATTATTTATAAGGTGGATAGTTCTACAGTGTGGTCCACCTTTCTGCCCTTGAAAACCGTCTTTATGGAACAATGGGGTTTGGGACGGCTGGGGGCCAGGAGGGCATTTTTGCTCATTTTTGTTAGAGGCCTTCCCTGCTGCTGAGTGAGAGTAGAAGAGCTCGAGCTAGAGGCTCCCTCTGAAGGGTGTTCCATGTGGTGGCTGGCTGCGCATCGTGGGAAAGGCGAGGGGCAGCTACCTTGAGCTTTTGGATTTGGCGCTCGATGGTCTGGATGTCGGTGCTGAGCTCCAGGCGCCGGAGCCGTTCCAGTTCCTCCTCCGTGTCCCCCAGCCAGGCCCACATGTTGTTCAGGTCCGCATTGAACTGCTGCCACTTCTGGAGGTTCTGCTTCATCCTCAACTCCTTGCTCAGGGCCTGGGCCTGGATAAGCTCCCACCGGTCAATGACACCTGCCAGGACATGCACAGAATGGTGACGGGGCCTTCTCCACAGACGAGGCTTAGGAAATCCCTTAAACATACCTTGGTGGCTAACTTTAAATAGCAACTGGAAAAAAAGTAATTCCACTGGGCATGTCTGTTGTTGTCATCTGGAAGTAACACTTCTATGAGTACAATGACTGTGTTTTTCCTATTTGCATTTTTAATGATAATAGACTGAAAAAAACCAGCTACATGAGATTTAACTCTGTCAAGAGTTCTATGCAGTAAGAAGTAGTCATGTGCACGAGGGTAACATTCAGGCCTTGGTTTCTTTCCGCAATAGGACTCTGAGCACACACATATAAAATGCTTGACTAGATACATTAAAGACAGTGCATTCAAATACATGAAACAAGAGAGAAAACCACCAGGAAAGGCACTCTTTACCTCCCTCTCCTGTCAGAGGAGATCATTATAACTTGGAGAGAGGTTTTCAGATAGAACAGTGTGGGAGGCTAAGCAGCCTAGTGGAACTTGACCATAACAAAGTGCTTCAGGATCTCCTATTTCACTCTTTCTTGAACTGAACGCCAGGCACTCACCAGCTGTTTGGGTCTCAGTACTATGCAGGTTAACAAAGCCAGGAAGGCTCTCTTCTTCCTCCTTCAGTTTGTGTTCTAATCTCTTCACTGAGTCTATACTGCCACTGCATTCGCCCAGGAGTTTCATCTGTTTACATATAAAAAACAGGCCCCTGTCATCAAAATTCTCATGAGTGCAAGTCTCTGGGAATATATCTTTGTAGTTTCTCAGCAAGAGAAGTGGCTGTTTTACTTCTCTGTGACACTCTACTAAAAATAAGCAAAGTTCAAAAACATGCTTTTTAAACAGGTGAAACATTCACACATACAAAAAGTGATGCCTCAAAGACATACTTTGCATGCATAATTTTCCATGAGAAGCCCTTTAAACTCATGAATCAAAACACATTAAACTGATCTGGGACTTAAAACTCAGAGCTCTCAGCTGGCAATGCAGCCTATACTTTTTTGGCAAGTTGCTCTCTCTTACTCTTTCTTAAACTGAAATGTGGGAAAGACAGTATTACCACAAATTTCATGGGAACATTTTTGTATTAAATTATTAAAATACTTAAGAATATAAGGCAATATCAAGCCAGCTGGTTTTTACGAGGAAACTCAAGCAATGTTTAATAGGTATCGAGGGATTGAATTCTAAAATCAAAAAGAAAAAGCTTCCAAATCCATTTTTAATATCATGCACAGTATTCAAAAATTAAAAGAACAAATCATTTCAAGGTACTCCTGTTACACTGAACTTTATGGTTCAAAGGTTGCAAAGCCTTTAATAAATCACAATGCTATTAAGTTACTTTGATTACTTTTGATTGAGGTTAAGTGTAATCCCAGTGATGTCAGCATGATCATCATAAAACTGTAGTAGCTCTGACTCGGGCGGGGCAAAGGTGGTATATGTAACCTAAACTTTTGTACCCCCGTAATATTCTGAAATTAAAAAAAAATGATTCACATTGTGAATCTTCAAAAGAACATAAAAAAAAGAGGCTTCATTATAATATAAGTTGGTATAATAAGCCAAACTGGGCAAGAAATAAACTCATGATTGATTACTCTTCTGTAATTGTGAGGATAATAAAATCAATATATATGGCTAGGATAGTTCTTTTCTCTGGTTTCAAAAAGTAGCATGTGTGAGTTGTGATTAGACATAAGGAAATTAATTTTTCTTTCATTTTGCTAAGTAGTCTTTTGGATGTGAAAGAGACTGAGGAAGGGAAGAGATTTACTTTAAAATTCTCTTCCTTAAGTATGTGTAGCAAAACGGGTAGTTCTCTGGAAAAAATTACGTGGCCAGTAACTTGAGTAGGGCAAATAACGTTATGATAGACCTTAGGATACACAGCCTATAGCTGCGTAAATAGAACTTGTAGTATACACGATGCCTTGCTAGCTTTTCCCCAAATCCCTCTTGTTAGTCAGAATTGTTTTCTCCAAAATGAGCATACTAAGAACAGAAGATAAAAAATTCCCAAGGTCATTAAACAAATCAATAAGTCCAGGAAATGAACTTTAAAAAACTGCACGTTAGTAATCTATTAGCTAGAATCTGCTGCTCCAAGGATAACCTTGGTCCAAAAATCATTAGTTGAATTTGAAAAAATGCCTAATGATTTTTGAGAGCCAAAACATTTTTTTTTTTTTTTTTTTTTACTTTCAATTAAAAGGATCTTCCTAACGCGCAGTGTGAAGGAACAGGCTGGTCATAACAACAGGTTCATGGACCTAAAAACCGCCCAGTTCTACTCAAAAGGTAACTTAATAACAGGGTTTTGTTTTGCACATCCACGTTCCCCAGTTCGGGGGCGGCATGGTGTTCAGAGACTTCATAAAGCCCTCGTGCTGCAGATGCACCGTTCCTTGTCACAGAACTGTGATTTCCAGGGACAGGTCAGGAGCCGGGTGGTCAGGGTACTCACGTAGCCTTTGTAGCTGGTGTCTAGCTCCGGCCCCGTGGGAGTTTTGCTCCGGATGATATTTTCGGTTTGCTGCATCTGAAATCGGCTATCATCCAGGGCTTTGCCCAGTTGTCGCATGTGTGACTCTAAGGCGCTGTGATCCCCTGCGGTGTCAACCACAACAATCTTTACTGGCCATACTGTTTGATTTATTTCAAGCTTGACATTCAAGGAAAAGTTTCAGAAATGATTTCAGGTACAGCAGCACAGAAATGGCGTGGGTGTGGGTAATTATGAAGCCAATTTAGTACTGTCTTAGTACTGTCATGTTGGTGGGTTAGACACTTAAATGGCCAAACCAATGCATGTGCTTGACTACGCGTCCTAGCAGACAGGACATTGCAAAGGCTCTTACCATTGCCTCTGAACAGCCCTGGGCGTCTGCTCCCTCTTCCAGCAGATCCCCTGATAATTATAATGGTGTCAACTGTGGAAGGCCTTTCTAAAAATCTGCGGTGGTGTCTATTGCGTCCCTGTCAGGAGGAGGCAGTGACTTCTCAGGCTCTTCCTGTACGCACTTAGCGAGCAGAGGAAAATACGCTCTCTGATTTTTCTTTGTGCACCTCAGAAGAAGACAGTGCCACTGAAGGCCCAGCTGCTGCATCATTCACTTAAGGCATGAATTCAAATTAACCAAGAGAAGAGTATCTCAGAGTAGATACATAGGGAGATCAAACTAGCAATGATTTGCTTTTATCTGAAATCTGAAACAAAACCAGGAGAAAGCTAAGATTTCAGCATTTCCATCTAGGTAGGCTCTTCTCCAGAGCCTAGAATTTCTGGCTCATTCTCTCAGAGTTGTAACACTTCCTTGCAAAATTGTAGTGTGTGTGTGTGTGTGTGTGTGTGTGTGTATTAAAGTCTTCGAACTGAACAGAACATTGATCATCAGAGTGGAGTGGAGCTAGCACAGGGTGAGAGCAGAACAAATATTAGTAAGCTTTATTAAATTTATTTTGAAAGAAGACCTTCGAAATACACCTAGGAGAGGTCTCTCACTAGGAATCACTCAGAACATCATCCTCTCAGTAATGCTACTTTTCTTTCTGCCCTGTGGCTTGTCTTCAGAAAACTGAAGCGTAAACTAGTAACTCCACCATTCAACATCCTATCACTGTGCTCAAACTCTATTCTCTCCGCCCTCCCACAAATCACTGACTCGGAAGTTTGTCTAGTGCAACACTAAGTAAAATTGCTTCTGTTTTTCTTTCTTTAATTTTTCTTGTTTTAGGAATAGTTCTGTCTTTAAAGGAAGACCTAAGGGTCAAGATACTGTGGAATATATTTTTCGATTCAAATTATTTTTAGGAGATAAGACTTCTTAAATTAAAATTGGATGCATTTTTAGAGCTGAAATCAGGTCTCACCCCTGTCTTACATGGGCTCCCTGAGATGAGGAGGATGGAGCAGTGGGTGTGCCCGAGGTCACTCATGCAGACTGGGGGTCTTGGGGCCAGAATCTCGTCCTGATTCCATAGCCACAGGTAGGTCTGCAACCCAGCAAAGCTGACGCTACCACAACCAAGCAGGACACGAGGGCATGGAGGGTGGAGACTGGGCTTTCCCTCTCATATCGTCTGCTGCTAATGGGCATCAGAGGTCTATATTGAGTGAGACCAATTACCATTTACAAGTTAAGAAGTTATTTCATTTCACTTGATTAGTGAAATCTTTTTCACGTGTTGATCAGCTGTTTTTTCTAGCACAGTAGTAAGAGAGGAGGGGTGTGCCTTGACATGCTCGAGCCACGAAGCTGTGAGAGACCCAGCAGGTGTACTAAGAGAGGAGGCTTGTTACAGGTGAGGGAGGGGGGACTGCTCTTGCTTTTTGTGCCTACCAGAGGTATTTTTGATTGCATTTTCTGTGAGTTTTACATAGGCCTCAGGGCTTTCGGGGATCGTTACATCTGCAAAAAGAGCACAGTCTAAGTTGACAGCTAAGTTCTGGAAACCTCGGCTCCCTTGTGGCAGGAAAATAACTTTCCTAGGGAAAAAAGGAAGTTAGTCATCCTAGACACATAGCTCTGGAGCACACAGAGGAAGGAGTGTGAGTATGCTCACCAAACTTTCCTGAAATGAATTACAGAAAGAGCTCATGGTCGTTGAGAGTGTTTTATGACCAGGTAGTAGTATAATCACTTATTTATCCTCACGGAAACCATACAGGGTGCCTGGAGTGTTATTCCCACTTTTTTTATAGATAAGAAAACTGGGTTCCAGAGGAATCAAGTTACTTATCCAAGTTTAAACATCCAGCAAGTGGCAGAACTGGGATTTCAACCCAGACGGCCAGACTGGAGGGCAGCACTGTCCCGTACGTTTCCATGCAGAGCACATGTGTAATTTTAAAGGTTTAACAGACACATTAGAAAAATGGTAAGAAACCTATAAAATTAATCTTAATACTATATTTTACTAAACAGATATATCCTATTTATAACATGTAATCAACACAAATACTAATATTTTATGTTTTTTCTTGGTACTAAGCCTTTGCATTCGTGTATTGCTGTAAGTGCATTTTCCACACACAGCCCATCTCAACTGGCGCCGTCACGTTCAAGCGCTGACAGTCCCCTGTGGCCAGTGGTGACATTGTGGACAGTGCTGCTTCAGATGCCACATGCCTGACTAATAGGCTCTACTGTAAAGACAACATAGAAATGAGAGACATTGTTTTATTTTTAAAACAGTGTCATTTCTTGGGAGTCCAGATATGAACCACCAGAAACAAACAGGAATTATCCCAGATGTCCTTTCAGAGAATGTATGAGATGCATTTACGAGTGCCACAAATTGGCCTCCAACTATTTATTGTATTTGTACTCCCCTTCCTTGTTCCTCTTTTTCTGGCTGTCCCTTCACTGTATATGTTGCTTGCATTTTGGTCCTTCTCAGTCCCCTCTGTACACTCTTCCTGTGGTATTTCCTCCGTTGGCTCCAGGACAATCACCACTGACATGTGGATAACTACCTGATTTGTACGTCCAGGTCCTGAACTTTAGCCCTACGCATCTACTGCTGGATATCTGCGTTTGGATATTCTACAGGTATCTCAAAATCAGGATGCACACAACCAAACTCATCACCTTCCCTGTCTCATAGCCCTGCCTCCCTTGCCCCGCTACACCACAATGAGCCCTACGTCTGTGGTTCTCAGGGCCTGAGAACATCTGCATATTTCACCAAAATGCCCAAGCCAGAAAACTGCCTCCATCCCAATTCAATCAATCTCCTCCTATGGAGGAGTCTCCTCATGATTTCTCACATCTCTTCCATTCTCTCCATTCCCTGTGCTGCTTCCGTAGTTCAGGCCACCATCCTACCTCTGTGCTAGATTATTAAATGTTTCATTTGGACTCTCTCCCCCGATACGCTCTCCTCCCTATAGTATCTAGACAGATACGATGTGCAAAAATGCATCTGATCACATTACCTCCCTCTGCAGATCCTGCTGGTGGCTCCCCAGTGCCTTCAGGGTAAAAGCCAAACTCCTTTCCATGGTGAACAGGCTGCTTTATGACCAGGACCTTATTTGCCTTTCCCGTCTCTACTTCGTTCACTCCAAGCTGCCCAATCAACAGTCTGGATATTCTGGGCAAACTTTAGATGACCAAAAGCAGCAAGACCAATCACAACGCAGGGAGGGCTCCTCTCCTTCCTTCCTCTGGACATTGCCGTGTCCACCCGACCGACTGCAATTCATCCTTCTGGTCTCAGCTCAGCAGTTTATTCTCTGAAGCCCTCCCCAGAGCTCCCGGTTAGTTTCCCTTGCGCCTCTACGCCGCCACACGTGCACTGCTATCCTAGCACCAAACAGTTCACAGGGTCATTTCTTATTTACTTACCTGTGTCTCACGCTAGAGTGTGAGCTCTTTGAGAAGAAAAGGAACCGTGTGTCTCTATCACTTAGCAAAGAGCTCATCTGCTAGTACTCTAAATATAAATCAGTGGAATAAATCAACAGCCATGCCAACTTTTGCATTTAGTAACACATTAATATCCAATTGCGTGCTTAGGTACAATGAACTGCTGACATGTTCCCAGGGCAGTGTTAATTCTCTCGCATTTTCCTTTGAGCTGGCATACAGGAAGGGCTCTTTCCTACCTGATAAGCCAACGGCTCCCCTGAGGTAGAAATCTTTGTCTTCCTGACCCTCTTCGTCCTCAGAGGGCAGGGTTCTGGACACTGCAGACTCCAGGTCCCGACTGAGGTCATAGTCATGATCCCACTCCAGGGGGATAGAGTCCACACTGGCGGGGGTGTCTCGCCCCGACCGCTCGCTCCGCAGGGGCTGGGCGAGCGAGAGCGAGGGGTTGGAGGAGGGCTGCGGGGAGAGCATGCTGTCTGCAGAGCGGTCGTGCCAGTGCAGGTCCGAGAGAGCCGCAGAATCTTCCAGCTCCAGCTCCCTGTCCGAGAGGTCGTGCTCATCGTCTGGGAGCTGGAAGGGAAGTCAAGCCAGCCTCGTTATTGCAATGGGTCCACCTGTCAGCAAATCTCAGCATCTGAGCTTACCTGGGCCACCGGTCTACCAAGTGGGGATAATTGTAAACTTCCCATGAGCAAATGAGAATCTTTTGATCACATTTAAAAATGTCTTATAAATTAACCTATGTAAGCTTCCGTTTCATTACTGGTAAAATGGGAATAAAAATCTACTTCGAAGACTTGATATAAGATTAAGTGAGATAATGTAAAGAAAGGCAAACTAGTACTGTGCCTGCAATATGACAGCTACACAATGACATATATCAGGAACAAAAGGATATTACTGAGAAAACTACAGCTTGTCCTTTTTACTTTATATACCAGATTTAAAATATACATAGAGGATTACAAATATTCGAATAATATCTCCACAGATAAGATGTGATTATGATAGCAATTAGGAAAATAGAAAAAAAAATTCACCTAAACCTAAACCTCACCAATAATTATATTCCTCACGTTCATCTTCTTATTTCTTCTAGAGGCTTCTTTATTTTCCATAGAATGTATGTGCCAAATACTCTTCTAAACTCTTTATATATAAATTCATCTAACGCTCAACACGATCGTTTCTACAAAGTAGTTACTGTTATTAAACCAGTTTACAGTTGAGGAAACGGAGGCAAGAAAGGTGAAGTCACTTGCGCAAGGGCACAGAGCCAACGCGTGTCAACGCTAGGACGTCAACGCGGGCACCCTCTCACCTGCTATCCAGTGCTACCTAATCCCACATAGATAATTCTCTTTAGATTTAAAGAAAATGAAAAAATCAATGACACGTACAGGCAGGCGGATCAATTTCTTGTGGTATCTTTCCACACGCCCGAAGACCTCCTGACAGTATCGTCGGAGCTCATCTAGCTCTTCCTCGATAACCGCTGCGTCCAAGGGCTCGCTCTTTTCTATCAGCTGTTCTCCCTGGGCGATTATCTGCTCAATCTTATTGTGGTTCAGTGAAATTTCCTGCTGGAAGGCCTAAGGAGGACAAATCTCATGGGATTTTTTTTATTGCTCATGTTGACATAAAATGATCATACATATTTTTCATTATATTAAAAATACCACGGAGGATATTTAATTTGCCATATGCAATGACAAGCCAAGAGGCTATTGTCTCGTGGTAATAAAAAAATGTTAAGCCAGAACAGAAATCAGAATGGAAACATCAGAATTTCACAACCAGAGAAGAGCCTTTGGCTAATAAAATTTAGCACTACATAGATTTTGTGTAGAGTGTGGGGAATAACAGGAAAAAATATTCAAACCCAACGTAAGTTGATGGCATTGGTTATCCCTGATGAAAGCAAAGGCAATCAATAAACTGCCACTGAAATACATTTAGTATTTTAAAGAAAAATTCTAAACATTTTAACTTTAGATGTCCTGATCACATGTCAAACATGACTGAGAGAAGCTATCCAGATGATGATGCCACAGATTCTTCTCCGATGATTTTTCTGTTGTTTCAGGACGGAAGCAGGTAAAGTTAAAATGATTTGAAAGACAGGGAATTCTGGGAGGGTTATTTTGACTCATTCTATATGTTTCAAAAGAGTTAAATCATTGGGGACAAGTTTCAGGAGATAAATTTTAAATGAATACAAGAATAAACTCTGGAAGAATCTAAATTGTCCTATGATGAAAAAGACTGCCAGTGGAGAAGGGAGGGTAGGAGTAAGTGCCATGATACTGCTGAAGTCCAAAAGGAAGAGGTTCAACTACTACTTGGTAAAAACTTCCCGTTGAAGGATTTAAATATTGGTTTGCCTGAGAGATGTCGGGAGAGTGGGAACAGGGCGAGGGGAGGCATTGGCACAATAGCAGCATTTACTATCTTATGATTTCTTCCTTTCTGAGAATCTATGATTAAGGGCAAGTTCCTTGTTTTATTATAACAACCAAAAGGTTATGGGAATCCCGACTATTCTTTTAAAAAACCCATCAAGCTCATGCCTGTAATCCCAGCACTCTGGGAGGCTGAGGCAGGAGGATTGCTTGAGCTCAGGAGTTTGAGACCAGCCTGAGCAAGAGCAAGACCCTGTCTCTACTAAAATTAGAAAAATTAGCTGGGAATGGTGGCGTGCACCTGTAGTCCCGGCTACTCAGGAAGCTGAGGCAGGAGGATCGCTTGAGCCCAGGAGTTTTGTGAGCCTAGCTCACAGCAACCTAGCCTGGGTGACAGAGCTAGACTCTGCCTCAAAAACAAAAACAAAAACATAGATCTTGGGAAGAAAATTTCATAAGCTGCCTTGCAAATTAATAAGTTGTTAAACACTCTCCTTTTTAGGAAATCCTTATATCTAATGTAAATCCCCCCTATTCAAATTTCTACCTAGCCACTGTGTTTAAATTATGTGGTGAAAAATACAAAATGTATTTAAGATTAATTTGGCATCTAAGAATGCAGAATATATGTAGAAATCTCAGAAAAGACAGTTGTACTGCTTTGGAACATGAAGGTCAAACAAACTATTTGAAGGTGCTAGAAACAACTCATTAAAAAAATCTCAAACACAATAACAAAAGACGATCCTTAACACCCTGGCAATCATGTTAATCATTAAAAGTATATATGTTAATGGTGGCTGGTTATCCCTGTGTAGTGCCCTTTACTTTATTTTTAATATCTTTCATATTTTCTGAATATTTTGGGGCAACCAAGAACTAATTTTTTAAAAGAAGACTATTATATTCTTCACAAAAAGCTCCACAGATCCTTTTATTTTCAGAGTTTCTTCACATCGATCATTTGAAAAATTTTTCTATTACCTTGAGTTGCTTGATTTTAGCTTGAACATCACACTCAGAAAAGTGCTCAATGTTAGTGAGCTGCAGATCCATCTCTGTGAGCCAGACCAGAATGCTGTCCCGCGCAGTCTCAAACTCCTCGCGCTGGCCAATAAAATGCTGGATATGGGAGGCAAATAATAAAGATTAAAAAGTCCACATAAACATATCGACACGGCACAGCCAATTCCAATGTTATTCTGCAAAGTCATTTTCTCAACAAGCAACGAGAACCCTGCAATCCTTTGACATTTCACGGCCCCTGCAACACCCCTCTGCCATCGCAATCTTACAAAATCACTGAGATGATGTCTTTACATTGTGTTCAAAAATGGTCTGATCCTGTCCTCTGGGCCTCTAAATTACAGATGAGGCATAATAAAAACCTTGAGTCTGCGCAAGATGGACGTGACACGCTTTTGCAGGTTGTCCCATCTCTGGTTGCCGTCGTGAACCATCTGTTTCAGGCTGCACGCGGAGTCGGTGCGATTCTCTCTGGCCAGACGGCGGTACTGCTTGTTGATCAGTTCCAGCTGGGTCAGGCACTCGTGGACCTGTCGCTGGAAAGCCTGCGACCACAAAGAAGGATGTTGGTGTGGGAAATCAGCTCTCATCTGATGAATGGGAAGTTACGCCACCACAGACAGAGGGAAAGGACGATTTCTGATGACAGTATACGTGCCCTGATGGAAGCAAAGTAATTTAATCAGGGTAGCTTAAGAAAAAACAGTGGTTTAATCAAAAATATGAAACAAATAGAGAATAGTAGTAAATAAATGCATACACACATATGTACGCACACAAACATATAAATATAATACAGTTTTTGAAATAATTAACAGCCTAGGAAACAAATTTCCCCACAAAACAAACCATTACAAAAACATACGTGTGCTTATATTTTTGAAATGTATGTTTGAAATGTTCAATATTTCTGGTGTTGATACTGAGAAAAGACATCTATAATAGAACTGTTTATTTGTAAAATATGTAATTTCCTAAACCTCTAGAAATTGACTCAATTCTGCTGCTATCCATTAGGAAAAAACTTGAAACTACCTTTTGCAGAAAGCCCTCTAAAGGTAAGCTATTATGAACTTTATTTTTTAAAAAAGCAGTTTAGTAAAATATAAGTAATTTTACATTTTAAAAAGTCTGGAATATGCTCTATTTCTTTTTTATTGTTTCTATGAATTAGTCGCAGTGTTTATAAAACATGTTGGAGCTAGTGTACCACCCTACATGGCTGTGTCTATTTACTTTTGAAGACACCCCACGCACCCTATGCACCGTTTAGAGACTCTAAAGGTAAACACTCTTTCTGCTTTCTCCCTGCAATACAGAATAGCCCTAGCATAAGAATCATTTGGCCAAAATAAAATGAAGCTCTTTTTTTTTCAAACTCATTTGTATGATTTATGACATTTTTATCCTGTATTAGACAAAAATTTTGTAATTCACCAATTGGACTGTACTCATCAAATCCCCAAATTTTGTTTTCCTTGGCTTATTACACTGTTTACAGGCTACCACATTACTGCCTCTTAAATGGTTTTCCTTCTGAGTGTTGCTTTAAGAGCCTTAATCCTAATAAATCCTGTCTTCTAGTCTATAAAACTTTAAGTTATTTCCCCAGCAATGGAAGTTATTTCCCCAGCAAAGAGAGTTGAGATTTTGCCATTCCTAGAAGTCACATATGTGTTTGCCCACTGGAGCGGGTACAGCACCAGACCCATCCCAAACATTCAAGCAACTCAATGAGCTAAAGACTGTCCTTAAGCAAAACTTTGTTTCTATGATTTATTTCCATCTCTTAAGAAAATTAACTATAAGATTAATGATAAATGACTAAAGAAATCATTATAGAAGCTAACTGTATGGCTAACTTTTGCTATAAAATCTGAGAGTCTAAAATAGCATCAGAAACAATCTTATATAATATGCTTTGTAGTCTAAGCCAATTACAAAGGTTTTAACCTTTATGACGCTGAGTGTAATAAGATGCAGTCGAGTAGCACTTCCACTCGTATTGGCTCACATTGAGATGACCTGGAATCTACCACAAAGTATATTGTAGCTTTTTACTAGACGTTTTCTAAGGGAAAATCTTTTGTATAGGAAAATATTTTTTTTGGGAATTAAGAGATTTAGTTACACATAAATCCATTCAGACTTCAGAAAAACTCTTACTTATTTCACATAACATTTGAACATTTTTATAGATTCATATAGCTGTCCATCTATAACTCAGATTATAAACTCAACAAGAACAAAAAGCAAACTTCATGTTTCTTCTAACAAGCCTAAGTAAATGCCCGGTTATCTGATATAGCAAGGCAAAAATGCATCCAGCTGGCTTTGGCTGGATTTTTAGTCTTATTTCTAAACATCTTAAGGAACTTTGGGCAGAATTAGCAACCAAGAATGATCAGAAGGCATCTGAACTGTTTGCTGTCAATATATGAGTACACACATCTGCCTATCAGTGGGAACTGAAGGGAGAAGAACCTTCGAATTTAGAAACGGTCCACTCTGGGCTATGTCAGGTCCTCTGCGAAAACGACAGGCAGCTGAGAAGCCGTGTTTCATCATGTCACAGTGATAGAGTGGACTCAAGATTGTGCAAATAGGCGAGGAACTGGAATCAATTATCGAATGATTCTCTTCTTTATGAGTATAATTACACCACTGCTATTTTTGTCTCCATGTAATTGAAAAGCCTTAGTGACTCAAGACCAGCACTGCTCTTTGTTGTGAAATTAGAAATGGATTATAAGGAAAACATTTTATTCTGTAAAATAGAGCCAACTCTATTTTATCAATCATTATATATATGTATGTGTTTGGGGGGGAACCATGATTCTTGTTTCCTAATAGAATTTCTCATCATTACTACATTATTTGTAATTCTTGATAATCTTAAATTGAGATAAAAACCTCCTTTCTGCCCTTCTTTGCCTACTTATGAGGTAATAGTAAAGATGGCTACAAAGTCCTCACCCAGCTATGTGAGCAGTTAGTTTGTAGGTGAACATTTAATTTATGTCTTAGAACACTTTCATAGCAAAATAAGGATGAAAAACTTGGATTATAAATCACCTCAAATGTCTTTAGTTCTTCCTTGGCAACTATATAGATCACCCCAGAAGACCTGGGGAGAGCAGCTGTCCTTTCTGAAATCTTCAGCCAATCTTCAAAACGGGAATAGTCATCCAGAAATTTCTGCCACAATCGCCATGTCTCTTCGATTCTGAGACAGAAAGTAAAAAGACAGATTCTGATTGTTTGAGACTGTCTACACTCCAGAACTCTGCCTGATGCCTGCCACAGGATTAAGGGTGCCCAAACATACAACTGTTGTGCCAAACAATAACTGTGCCCTGAGCCAAACTGACCAAAGAGAGAAAGAGACAACTGTTTGAGCTAAAATAAAACAGCTGTTTTGTTTTTTTTTTTCAAACATGTCCTGAGGCTCTGGATTTGGAATTAGTCAAATTGAAAATCATAAGCACATCACGTGAGCTGTCCTGGATGTGTGCAAGGAAGTTTAGAAATACAACAACATGTCTACTGTATACACTCAGGCCAGTGCTCCACTGAAATAAAACTGAGGCTTGAAAATTCATTTAAGTCCAATATCAGATTTACCCTGACAAAAGTCAACTTATGACAACGAGACAAATATTAAGCTTTCAAGAGTTCACCAGAGAGCATAATGACAGTGTGTTTTACGTCAGTATAATAATTTGGTAATGCATCATGACTTTTGCCACCTTAAATTTCAAAGGGCTTAAATATAATGTCTTTGTATCATTTAATTTTTAATAAAAAATGTTACTTTTCACAGCCACAAATTCTGTAATGCTATGCATATTTGGCAAGGGAATATTTTAATTGTTCTATATTATATTCAAACTGTTAGGTCAGACATTACTTGGCTCATTATATTTATATATCGTCTTTATACCTACTTATTTTCCCACCTATATGTAGACGACAGCAAGTTCGGGAAGTCAAGGCTATTTCTGGACATTGTAACCAAAAGGAAAAAGTGAAAAATGGATACTCTGGGTAATTTTATTATTCTTTTTGGTCTTTTCTCTTCCCTAACTGTTTGAGCATCCAGCTTACTTGAGCCTCCTTTCCATGGACATAGCACAGATATTTCTCCACCGCCGGTCCAGGTTTCTTGTAGCCTGCTGGATGGAGTCACACTCAGCGTCAGTGGCACAAGCGTCACAGTCGTGCAGCAGGACTTCACACAGGTTCAGAACAGAGGCGACGCCCGTACTGTGCTTCTCTATGTCTCTCTGAAGCTCCTGCAGGGGAATGAAACATGCTTTATTAAAAAATTACATGTATACAGATGAGAGAAACTGAAGCTGTGCTCATGGACCAATGGCTAGGCTAAACCTTGACAAATATTTCATTTGCTTGAATGCATGAAGTTTCTTCAGCCTCATTTATGAAATCCAGCAAGCTCAGATGTATGAGAAAATGGATCTAGAAATATTCTGGCTATGTGAGCAATGCCAAAACATAAACAGAACAAATGAAATAGAATACACTAAGAGTAAAACCAGCTTCTTTAACGAAAATGAAAACTGCATCTTGCCCGAGACTACTTAACAGATTCATCACTTACATTCCAATCAATCACACGATCAATCATGGAATACAGTCATCTCTCAGTATCTGTAGGGGATTGGTTCCAATACCAAAATCCACGATGCTCAGGTCCCTGGTAGCGAATGTCGTAGCATTTGCATATAATCTATGCACATCCTCCTGTATACTTTAAATCATCTCTAGATAACTTATAATACCTAATACAATGTAAATGCTATGTAAATAGTTGTTATACTATGTATTGTTTAGGGAACATTTTAAGAAAAAAGTCTGTACATGTTCAGTACAGAAGCAACTTTTTCCCAAATATTTTCCATCTGCAGTTGATTGAATCAACCATGAACACAGAGGGCAGGCTGTATATATGTACTGGCTAAAAGTTGGCATTGAAGAACTAGGATTTGCACTCCAAAGGTCTGCAAACTGTTTTAAACAGTTAATTCACCATTGTTAAAAGGTAACGTGGTTATCAACAGACAAATGGATAAAGAAAATGTGGTGTATACACACACACACCCCTCCCCACACATATATGTATACATGCACACATACACACACACACACACAATGGAATACTATTTGGCCATAAAAAATAAAATTAGCATGGGCATGGTGGCTTACACTTGTACTCCTAGCACTTTGAGAGGCTGAGGCTGGAAGATTGCTTGAGGCCAGGAGTTTGAGAACAGCCTGAGCAATGTATTGAGATGCCATCTCTATAAAAGAACTAAAAAAAAATTAGCTGGGCACGGTGGCATGTTCCTGCAGTCCCAGCTACTCGGAGGCTGAGGCAGGAGGATCACTTGAGCCCAGGAGTTTGAGGCTGCAGTGATCAATGATACGCTACTGCATTCCAGCAAAAAAGAATAACATTATGTCATTTGCAGCAACACGGGTGGAACTGGAGGTCAATATATTACGTGAAATAAGCCAGGCACAAAAAACCAATACTGCGTGTTCTCACTCATATGTGGGAGTTAAAAAAGTTGATCTCATGGAGGTAAAGAGTTGCATGATAGATACCAGCAGCTGGGAAGGGTGTGTGGGTGGGGGTTGTGAAGAAAGGTTGGTTAGTAGGTACAAACATAGAGTTAGAAAGAATAAGTTCTAATGTTCGATAGCAGAGTACAGTGACTGTAAGTAACAACAACGTATTGCATGACTTGAAATGTTCCAAAAACATAGAAATGATACATACTTGAGGTGATGGACACCCCAAATACACTGACTTGATCATTACACAGCTCATACATGTAATAAAACATCACATGTACCCCAGGAGTATGTATAAAGACTATGTATCAATTTTAAAAAGTGTAACATAGTTTAACAGACCTGGGTTCTATATCATGTATGATATGGGCAGCTTCCTCAAAAAGCAATTCTAAATGTGGGACAGAAATAAAAATTTATGATAAAAACAAGCCACTGAATTTCTGCAGATGCCTACAATCATTGCTTGCGTGACTATAGTTATTTAATATTTTTCGCATTTGAGGAACAAAATATGCTATATTCTATTTCTTTTCTTATATAACGTTTTGTTTTTCTGGAATTAACAATCCTTTCTCTCTCAAATGTATAATGCTTACTTCTATTCCCTCTCCTACAGAACTAATAAGACTCCCTCCAGAATGAGTTGAGCCCATGAGGTAATCTAGTCCAACTGTTTCCGCCCTGGAAACATCCCTCCTAGAGCACCCAGGCACCTGCTCCCACTTGGACAGGTGCTGGCTGGGCTGCAGCACAGCTGTCACTGGGGACTTTTCTTCACTTTCGTCCTGACAATTCCCTTTTTCTTTCTCCAGAATTGCTTAATATTTTCACTCTCCCTTCAGTCTTTAGTGTCGTGTGGCACACCTTTCATTAGTTCCTGAAAATGGGTGCATAAGAGGTAAACATTTTATATATTAAATGGCAAGACATACAATTCTAAATTATAAATATTTTCCTCAGCTTTTTGAAAGTAGCATGCATGGTCTTCTAGCTTCCAGTGTTGTTTTAGAGAAGTCTGGGAT